TATTAATACATAAATTCAAAAAATTGCATTCGAAAATGCTTGACATGATGTGAAACTCAAAATCGTTGACGTTAAATTTTTCATATGTAGGTACTGAGCAGATTTGTAATTCTGAAGTAGCGATTAGAAAAAGAAGAAGAGGAGGATAATAGAAAAAAAAGAAGATTGAAGACGGGAAAGAGGTGCAAGAATGGAAAGAAATGGAAGGGGACAAACGAGGCAAGGAAAGGAATAATGGTAAGAAGAAGGAGAGGGGAAATATAAAAAGGAGGAAGATGAAAACAGAAAGGGGAACACGAGGAAAAACAAAGAAAGACAGAGAATGAGTAGGCGAAGAGGAAAGAATTTCTGTATAAAAAAACCCAACAACCTTACTCCCTACCCTTCCCTCACTCTTTAATCTTTTTGCCTATCTCTCTCTCCACCTCGACCCCACTCCCGGTCCTTATCTCTCTCTCTCTCTCTCTCTCTCTCTCTCTCTCTCTCTCTCTCTCTCTCTCTCTCTCTCTTTCCGCCAGCTATCCCACTTTCACTCTAAATCCCTTTCAGGGTCGAACCTGCTCCAACGGCCACCTGTATAAGACAATCACTTGTTTTAGTTTTCGTAAGAGTTTTACGGCACTTGCAGCACACTATGTCATATACGTGCCGACGATTAGAGTTGTTACAAGAGAGTAACAAACACAAAAAAGAAGGAGGGGAGATAAGATGATAGATGTTTGCTAGGACAAAAAGAACAAACCGCACCAGAGCACCCGCCAACCACCCACTCATAATCACTTGTACAATCGGCCTCTTCACATCCTCTCCCCCCCTCCCCCCCATTTGTGTCTTTATTTCATTATACTAACACGGTGTAAGACGACCATTTTCCTCCTCGACAATTTCGACTGTACATCCCACCACCCGTCTTGCTGCCTCGCCCCACTACGTAACCTTTTCGCATACCCCCTCCCCCCTCCTCAATTTCACTCTGTAATTGTAGTCTCTCTACATACCCTCCACCAACTCAATTCCGCCCTGTATTTATATTCTTTTCACATAACTCCCGGCCACCCCAATCAATATTTAACTTTGTAAACATAAT